CTGCCGGAATAAAGCAAAGAGTATTTTAGAACATTTATTATATATTTGTGAGACATTTATATCACTTTATGAAAGTATTTTTTAACAAAAAACGTTTCCATATAATTTTCATACCTTAAATAATTTTCTATTAATTAAAAATATCAAGAAAAGTCAATATAACTAAGTTTTAAGGACGGGGAGTATATAGGGGGTGTTTGGCAATTGGCTGTTGGCGGTTAGCTGTTGGCTGATTGTGTAAGCGGTTTAACTATAGCTGTTTCTGTTGGTTGTTTTGATTAGCTGATAGTATTAGCAGTTTGTAAAATGGTGTTTGGTTGAAATGGCGGTTTACAATCAGCTGATAACTTGTCAAATGACCTTTAAGGACATCAATTAAAAAATTTTAATCGTGCACTTATATATATATATATATATATATATATATATATATATATATTACATGTTCATTTTTTATTCCAACGTACTACGTATGGTTTAAACATACTGGAGCATATGGTTTAATTTAAACATACTGGAGCATAGTTTTTTTCACCATGACGGGATATGAATTGACAATATATTGGAGCATATGGTTTAAACATACTGGACCATATGATTTAAACATACTGGAGCATAGTAAATTTTATTTCTCCATGATGGGATATGAATTGACAATATACGGGAGTGTATGGTTTAAACTTTAAACATACTGGAGTACGGTTTCAACATAACTAGAGCATAGTTTTATTTTTCCATGATGGCATATTATCAAGAATAATTATATGGGCTTGTTTTATTATTTTTATCCATTGGGCCTTATGTTAGTAGTAAGCCTTTATTGTATTTAGTAATAGGTATATATTTCTGGAACAGTGTAATTTTAGGTTAAGGCTTTCATTTCAATTCCAAATCTTCATCCGCTCCAGAGCTCTGTAAACTCTTCTTCGATCAAGTTCTTCATTCATTCATCAGATTTCTTCCATTCAAACATTGTTACATATGAATTGACAAAATACTGGAGCATATCATCATATGGTTTAAACATACTGGAGCATATTTTTATGTTCGAATTATTCAAACAGAAAAATATATTTATGGAACATAAGAAACCATTGCTTGATACAATAAACCATACCTTGGAGTCGTAGCTTTCAGAGAGTCAAGTCTGCCAGTATTTTCTCTTTGACGTGAAGCTGCGAGGAAGACGAGAAGCCAACGAGCCAGAAGGAAAAGGGGTGCAGGGTATCGTAGGAACATTACGATGGCAATAGAAGCAGCCAATGCCTAAACGCTAGGTTTATTGGCATTTTTTATTTTGGCTGTTTGGGCCAAAAAGTCAAATTAAAAATTTATTTTACCAAACACACATATTGGCTGATTGATCTGGTCAAAAGGCCGATATTGGTCAAATCAGCCAAAAAGTAGCTGATAGGCCATTAACCAAACACCCCCATAAACTAATAAAAGTAGGAATTAATCATATTAATTACTTAATTTCAAAAATAAAATCTGAATAAAACATTTATGTAATTAAAGATCAGATATATACTTAGAAAGATCTTGTCTAAATTCATATATTATTTGATCTAAATTCATATTATTGTTACTCAAAGAGATGAGGCATACCCCAAATTACTCAAAGAGATTATGATACGGACCATTCCGTATATTTGAACTTAACACTAGTGTGTAATAATTAAATTTAATACGGCGTATGAATTGTCTTAGCATTACCGTACGTCTGCTCCGTTACGTGCTCAAGTGCTCATGCTCCTTAAAATTTCACCCTATTTGGCAAATAAATTTAAAACTATCCTAATTTGGGAAATTTCACCTTATATATTTTTACTAGTTTTGTGTCGCGCGTTGCGCGATAGGGTAATGCCCAATATTTTCTAGATAAGTTAAACATTATGTTTTTTTGTTTGGTAGAAAAAAAGGATGACACTCCATCCTGAGCCCCTCCAACACCGACCGGACAGAACGATGGAGAATGTAAATTGAACTATAATCATAATCTGACAGATAGAGAGTGGGGCTCCATCCCCGGTACTTGCAAAGGCCCTATGCATTTTTAACATAGTAACCTCTCATCGCAGTTGCCGGGATTCGAACCTGGGACCTAACCCTTGTGGCACTCCCTCACTACCAATTGAGCTACCACTTCCCTAACCCTTTGGTAGAGAAGTCCATGAAACAAATGAAACAATGGAAAAACAGATCCAAAAAGATACGCGGTGTTAAGAAGACAAGGCTGGAGATGATGCTAAGGCAGGAAAGAAGAAATAGTTTTAATGCATCCGAAGCCCTAATGTTTACCTCTACAAAGAAATGGATTTTGTTTTTTAATGATTTGATTTGTAGACAAGTTGTAAGCTAATTTTGGTATTGTTTTATAGCATTTACCCATTTGAGATGTCTCATCTGATAAGAATTTTACTCTCTTTTCACTCCATTCATCCAATGATCTCAACCACTAAGCTAAGATCTCCATTGCTTAAAAAAAACTAATGATTTTGAAAACGAGGTGCACAATCCAATATCGCCCAAAACGTGAGGTGTAAAGTCACATTCACCTTATATATATTCTTTCATATGTAACACTAATAATTAAATTTGTAGGATGAAAAGTATTTATCCTTTATGAGTAGCTTAAAAAAGTATTGTACCTGAAAGCTGAAAGATAATTAAATTTGGAATTCGTTCATTTATGAGCAACTTAAAAATAAGAGCACCCTAGAAGATATTTATATATAACTTCTTCTGTATCAAAATAGGTGTCACATTTTTCATTTTTGGGAAGTAACAAAATAAATGTCACATTTTATTTTATAAAGAAATCTACCCCAAAAGCAGCTACAGTACACTTTAATAAAGTAAACAGTGCTACTACAGTATAAAAATCTCCTACTTTTAGAAAAATGTACAGTAAATATATAAACTATCTTAAATTACGTGAAAAACATATTGAATCACTTATTACGATACAAAGGGAGTATAAAATAGTAACATAGGAGGAAAATTTAGAGTATTAGAAGAAAAACCACACCTACCAAATAACAAAGGAAATGAACAAATTAATAGGGAGCATGCAACTCCAAATCTATCGAACATATTGTAGATTTTTTTTTAACTTGAACTCATTTCATTCTCAACTCATATTAGACCTGACCAAATCATATTTAAATAGATCAAATCGGATTTCGAAGTTTTAGAATACACATACAACAAACATCAAACAGACCAGACATGATCACGCATACCATATCAAATTAAATTATACGGAGTACTAAATTAGATTAGAACAGAAAATTGCAATCTAATTATAAACTATTAAGGGGGTGTTTGGAACTGATTCTGATTTTGCTTATTTTTTGAAGTAGAAACGAAATCAGAATCAGTTTTCAGAAGCATTAGACACCAGAATCATTTATGTACTTTCAACCAAACACTCCAGTTTTGGAATCAGATCCAAACACCCCCTAACACTATTATCCAACCCGCCAAGTTTATGCCTGAAGTTTAATTTGGAATCTATTGTGACCTATTAGACAATTGAAAGAAACATTGGGCTAATCATACCGGTGGAATACAATTAAACAAAGAAAGGGAGTGAAGAAATTAAAGGAGTTCAATCGTCAAAATTGAAAGGGACTAAGTGATTATTTTTCACAATAAAAGCTAACATATGTAATTAATAATCACTTTAGAGCATACAAACAATAACGGAGAGATGGAGTAAAACTTAACAGAGATAGTGTCATAATTGGATACAGAAATGGTTGTACAATAATTTAAGCTTATGGATCAAGTTAATATTGCTTTGGTGTTACACCAACATTTTTTTGATTCCTAAAATACCCTAACCTTCATTGGTGTTTATAAGATTTTAGATTAGATATAAATTGGGGATATGTGACTCTTTGTTACGGTATGCTTCAAAAAAATCAAGGGAAAACTGTCAAATAGGTCCTTAAACTTTCATAAAAAAGTCAATTAAGTCCTTCTATAGGAGACTCTGTCCGGTCATCACGATTTGGGGCGGTTCCCGGTGGAATTTTTTGATGAAATTTTTAGAGTATCTTATTCATCAAGTCTAGTTTACTCATACCAAATTTTAGCTAAAAATTTAATCGGGAGCGCATTCAAATTAATTCGAGAACGCAAAAATGCGCAGTTATTTTCAAGAATTAATTTGAATGTGTTCTCGATTAAATTTTTAGCTGAAATTTGGTATGAGTAAACTAGACTTGGTGAATAAGATGCTAAAAAAATTTCATCAAAAAAATCCACCGGGAACTGCCCCAAATCGCGACGGCCGGACAGAACCTCCTATAGAAGGACTTAATAGACCTTTTTATGAAAGGGATAAGGGTCAGTTTGGTCCTCGAAGTTGCAAAAGAGGGGTCAAATAAGTCCTTATATAGAAAATTCTGTCTGGACGTGCCATTTGAGGTGGCTCCCGGTGGAATTTTTTGATGAAATTTTTTGAGCATCTTATTCATTAAGTCTAGTTTTTTCATACCAAATTTCAGATAAAAATTCAATCGGGAAGACATTCAAATGAATTCTTGAAGATAACTGTGCCGTTAAAAGCGCAGTTATCTTCAAGAATTCATTTGAATGTCTCCCTGATTGAATTTTTAACTGAAATGTGGTATGAGTAAACTAGACTTAATGAATAAGATGCTCAAAAAATTTCATCAAAAAATTCTATCGGGAGCCACCTCAAATGGCACGTCCGGACAGAATCTTCTATATAAGGACTTATTTGACCCCTTTTTTGCAACTTCGAGGACCAAACTGACCCTTTACTCTTTTATGAAAGTTGGAGAACTTATTTGACAATTTTCAAAAAAATCAATGACACTTTGTTACGAGGACTTGCCGCCGATAGATGTCCTAAAACCGGACGCCCAAAATTGTGCTTGTCAATCATAGCAAAAAACCCGGTCTAAGCCAGTAAGTCCCAAGTTGTTATGAGTTTGTTTGGTCAAACACATTATGGAGCCAAGAATGGCGGGACAACTCCCAGCAAAATAACTGAATAACGATACTTCTTCAGCTCATCCTTTACGGGGGAACTCAAGGAATCGGGAAATGGATTCTTCTTCAACGTCTAAGCAAGGCCGGAAACCGCCTACACTGAATCAACCGGACATCTACTCAACCGTCGTTTTCCACGGCACCGACACGGAAAATGAGCAGACTCGCGACGCCGTCTCTGTGTCGAAGGGCCATGCTTCATTGGAATCTGAGAATGACACGCAGTCCGTTGGCGGCACAATGATAGTGAAGACCAATCGCCGCAGACCTCGGTCCGAGACGATGTCCTTTCTCGATCGAACGGAGAAGATCCGCAAGAGTAGAACTGGTGAAATCGGGGAGGAGGGCGTTGAGGAAGGGGATTTCTCTACATTTGTAATGAGGGACGGCGAGATTGAATCGGGGACCGTGGTGAGGAGAACGAGCGGAAGAGGAACTGGCGAAGAGAGCGGATTGTCTACGATGAGAAGAGCTGTCGCGAGTATGCAATCTATGGAGGAGATTGGGGCTGGGAGGAAGAGGAAAGGTGGTAATGGCGGTGCATTGGAGGAGGAAATGAAGCAGGTGCATGGGAGTAAGGTGTCTTCCAGCTCCTTTCCAGATAGTGTGGCGAGGGAAGATCCTTCTACGAAGTATGAAATTCTTCACGAACTCGGTAAATTTTACTTCTTGCTTTTCACTTTCCACGTTAATTACTTTGCCTTGATATAAAGTAGTTGATTATATACCTCCTAAAAAATTTGGTGCATAGAGCATATTCAAAATGCATTAAGCGAGAATTACGGCGATTTAAGATTTGATGCTACTCAGGTTATGAGAAGAATTGAGAGTATATGAAGTTTCTTATGGTGCATCTTTTACTGCTTCTATCATGTGCTTAGCAACCTATTTTAAAATATGGCTGGAAGTTTTTGTGTAAAAATTAAGTGATTGAAAGGGGGAAGGAACTGGGCATGGCAGGAAAGGGTTCATATGGTGCTGTTTACAAAGCTCGAGATCTGAAGACTTCGGAAATGGTTGCCATCAAAGTGATATCATTGTCTGAAGGGGTTTGTTTCCTCAGCAGTCTATGGTTTTCTTAACATATTGAATCTGTTTTTAAGCATACAATTTTTTTTTGTAATTTGAAATGCATTCAGGAGGAAGGCTATGAGGATATCCTAGGTGAAATTGAGATGCTACAGCAGTGCAGTCATCCAAATGTTATTCGCTACTTTGCGAGCTATCAAGGAGACGAATATCTTTGGGTATGACCAAATGTATGGATTATGCGACAACTAATGCTTCAACGGAATCAACGCTTAATAAAAAGAGTTAGTTATGTGTGTAACTAGTGGAACCCATATTATGTCTTTTTTGTTTATTGAAGCTTGTGCTACTTTCTACGATTTAACAGATAGTAATGGAGTATTGTGGGTGTGGAAGTGTTGCTGGTTTAATGAATGTCAATGAGGCACCACTTGAGGAGCACCAAATAGCATATATTTGCAAAGAAACATTAAAGGTAAGTAGGTAATCTTGGCTTGAACGTTAAAGAAGTGCATTAAGTTCTTGGTCTGATGAACAGTCAACAGAGAGGCATTTGACAGGCGAACCACCTGACTGATAGGATATTTGAGGAATTCTTCAAGGGCGTCACATATTAGTTGGATGGTGATGGAACTCGCTTTTTCTGAGTCTGGCTAAACATGGCAATTGTTTTGCTAGAAATGAACAGCCGTCTCTTGGAACAAATAACAAAAGTAAAAATCAATGATAATAATAAATCTTAGAAATGAACGGTCATATCTTGGCTCATCCTAACCCCTATCTCAGTTCAGATGTTCAATTTCTTTCACTCATTTCTCTTTTGAAACTTGATTCTAGAAGAAAAAGGAACACAGAAAGAAGCATAAAATACTTCCACCCATGTAGTGCCTGCAAGAAGCTCGGGGCTATTGGATAACAATGACACGTGAGAGTGTGATGACTGAAGGCTTCTGCCTTTCACTTTTTTAATAACAAATCATTTAAAATCCACTCTTTCATGATTAATTATTTATGACTCTTTATTTATCTGAAGTCTGAACTATCATTACTCTGTCATCTCATGCAGGGCCTTTCCTATTTACACTCCATATTTAAAGTACATCGAGATATCAAAGGGGGTAATATATTGTTAACTGATCAAGGAGAGGTTAAGTTAGGTTAGCATCTCCATTTAGACCATTTACAGTTTCGTGTAACCTCTTTGTATTTTGACACTGCATTCTTGTTCTTTATTTTTTCAGAACTTACAGCTGACCCCTTTTGTTTGAGGTTAAGCCTATATGAGTTCTTGTTGTTTTTGTTTAGAAGCTACATATCATTCCTTAATTTCATTGTTAGGTCATATTCATATCTTATTAGTTTATCTCCCTAAAACATGTGCATCACTATCCTTAATATAATTTCTTACTGAGCCCCAATTTGTAATAATTATCAGTATGAGCAGGTGATTTTGGTGTTGCTGCACAGCTAACTAGAACAATGTCCAAGCGTAACACGGTATTTTTGTCAGCTGCTTAGCTTTATCGCTTCGTTAGGACTTCTTAGATTTGTTTCCTATACTTTGGCAATTGGCATGATATAGCTACTTTCTAATTGGTATAGGACTAGAAATGAGTTTTTTTATGGAACTGTGATTATAATATACACTTAGTTACTGAAAGTGACAGTTTCCGTTATGGTGGAGAAGATTTTCATGAGTTATGCATAAAATAGAATTAGCTTTTACAACAAATCTTACTTTGTGGTTTAGGCTCCGTTTATTTCCATGTAAGTCGTTAGGGACAGTATTTAATGCGGAAAATGCACTACAAAATAACTTTTATATGTATACAACCCACTAACAACAAATAGAAACTTGTTCAGAAAAATGACTTCCTCTTTGCAAGAGAGAGATTTTTTCATACCAGCCCAAGAATCATGGAAATTATTTGCCTTTAGTAATACTCTTTCTGTGCCAAACACAGGAAAATTTTGTAAAAAGCCTAAACCTAGCTTTCTTCTCTATGCACAAGTGTTGATATCAACTCTCTCGAGCCGTTATGCTAATTTTGACAGATCTACTGAACAATGAAAATAAAAGGATGGGAGGTGATAGGAGGAGCATATTTTCTTCAGAAGCTATGTTGTGTTACTTGTCTTTTGCATAATTTCATGCAAACAAAAAAGCTTTTCTGTGGACGAGTGCTTGATCAGTTTAAATTTTTAAATGGATATTGTCTCATGTCGTGAAAGCAGTTATATATGATAAAAATTCACTAGTACTAGTATATTTTATGAATTTGGTACGTTGTCATCATCACATTACTTTAATCCTAGCTATGACGGGGTCAGAAGCACGAAGTTTATAGTGCCAATTAAGTTTCCAAAATTAGTTGGCACTACAGTTTCATAGTTGACACTGAAGTTTGTATTACGTAAGGAAAAACATGATGCTGGCTCACTGGTTGTCATGATGCTCCACCCTAAATTAAATTTATGCGACAGATTCTCTCCTCATATACTTGTGCATAAATTGATATTGGTTCATTCTTTCTCCAAATCTTCAAAAAAAAGTTATGTTCAATTCACAAAGTAGTCTCATGTGGTGGTTACTTTACCATTTTATTTCTTTGTTTGTTGTTATTTAGACTTCTAAAGTAGTAATATTAACACAAATTTGTTGCTTAAAAGTCTTACATTCCCTCATTAATTTTCAGTTTATTGGAACTCCTCACTGGATGGCTCCAGAAGTTATTCAAGAAAGTCGGTATGATGGAAAGGTATAATTGACACTGTAATCTTGTCATGTCTCTTGAGTTCATCCTGGATACTCCTTTTATAGGACTATTACTTGCTGTTTTCCCAAAATGTATCTGTCTATGTCTTTCAGGTAGATGTGTGGGCACTTGGAATATCTGCTATTGAAATGGCAGAGGTATGCTGGTTCCCAAGTCCCTTTTTTCTGTTTATGGATTTGGATTCTCTTTACAATGTAAAAAGTTAATATAGCCATATAGGTGCTACCTTATTGCTAATAAACCACCTCTTTGGATCTTCATTTCAATTAAATAATTTTCTATTGGATTGTACTGTGCCTAAGATCAATGTACATTTAATGAATTCTTTCTCATTGGCGGTGATCAACCATTTCCTCTTTTCAGGGTCTTCCTCCGAGGGCAACTGTGCATCCTATGAGGGTTAGTCTTTGAAGAATCGGTTTTCAATCTTCCAGGGAATATGTCACATGCAGTGTTGCTATTCTACATATGGACTTTAAGATATATACTGCCACTACAAAGATATTTATTAAAAGCCACTACCTGGTAATAAGGTAGAAACAATTCAAGTGAACAAACAAGAACATGAGATTACCATTTATGTATTTCAATATAATTGAATGCATTATGTTAAAAATACTTAGAGGATTAAATTTTTTAAGAGTATTTCAACTAATTTACGTACACTATATGGACCCTTCCATCTCTAGTATTCCTGAACCCCAAGGAAAGAAATAAGTTTTTATACGTGAACACTTCTAAAATTCCTAACTTGAGTATAAACCAAATAATATTTGTTGCTTAAAAACTGATGGGAGGTCAAATATTGAATTTCTAGTTCAGATTATGAATAAAATGCTTAATTCTCTTGAATAGGTGCACTCCGGGTTTTGTTGATGGCATTTATTACAATACTAGCATTTAGTCGCGCAAGGCGCGAGAGCTTTGCCCAATATTAAATAATGTTATTTTTGTAAATAAGTCTTTTGTCCATGCATGGGCGTTCATATTATATCTGAGATTATAACGAGGGGTTTTAAATAGTTTATGACTTCTTTATATCTTTTGTAAATTGTATGATCAATTATATCTTCATTCAATCTAGTATGATGTGAAAATTTGCCTACATAAATTAAACAATGCAAGTGTAAACGTTTTTGTAGTATTACTGTATGAAATAGTTGCAGTGAGAGTAGGATTTTATAATGAATTGTGACAATAGTGTTATTGACCACTTTAAATTATGTGCACAATCAGATTGTAAAAGTATAGGTATTGGATGAATTTGAAAGCTTATTTGTTTGAAAATATTCCAAAACAATGTTATGAATTTAAATGATATTGGATGTATTTGAGAGTAGTAAGTTTGAAAGAAAAATAGAAGAAATTATACTTAAAAATCTCTTTTGAGATATGTTGAATTTAAATAATTAAACTAATATTACTTTAAAATTTAGTTTAAATTATCATTTAATTAGTTATCATTCAAAATCCCTCATTTTGGAGAAACTTAAAAACTGAGCATTTGAGAGGTTTTGGAGGATCACAAAAAATTCTCAAAACCACTTTTCCACATTTTTTAAACTCTCAAACACATATAAGAGAGTCATCAACCCTCACGTCTTCTCCTCCCTCCCAAATTAAAAACGAACTCCCAATTCAAATTTGCCCCTTAAAGAATTCTCTAAGATTAAATATTAACATTTCAAAGAGGTTCTTTTACTTAAAATTAAGCAATTTATAAGCAAAAGATGTAAGAGGATGGGATGTAAAAAAATATGGAATTTTCATTTTTCACATATAAGCTGATATATGGTTGCCTACCCTTGATATCATATCACTCTAGAGTATCCAATTGCAAAGTAGGAGCAAAATCTCTGGGATGTCCTTGAAAACCATGGTGCCACACTACCAACATGTGACGAAGTCAATTCCTTTTAGAATTCCTTTTAGAAGGCATCAAAGTTATGTAGGTTTTTGCATCTGTTATGTCTACTTAAGAGGAGTGTTGGCAGCCTCTTGCCGAACTTCCTAGTGAAAAAGTGCAAATATGTGGATTTTATGAAGAGGACGTGCATAATGAAGCCATAAGATGTATTTGATGAGTGGGAGTTTTGTGCTTCTGATTTTCCAAGTACTGATGCGTTTTAGTGTCGACAAAGCTAAGTAACGGTGAAGGAGTTTAAGCGTGATGTTAAAATGTTAACTTTAACGGAAGTGAAATAATAGACGGCAGTAAAAGGTTAAACAAGTCAAGTTAAAAGTAAGGTACGGATTTTTAACAACAATGTACAAGCTCTTCTACATACAATGTATTGACATAAATAAGGGGTACCAACCCTTATTCACAGTTATAATATTGTTAGATCTCTTCAATGCCTTACAATATTGAATGTTTGAATAGGTGCTGTTTATGATATCAAGAGAACCAGCTCCAATGCTTGAGGATAAGGAGAAATGGTTTGTTCTTTGCTCTTGAATCTTTGCATATGCGTTTTCCTTTAATTTCAGGGTAGAATGCACAAATGGTACCTTGACTATTGGAATTGATGCTTTTTGGTACCCAGCTGAACAACTACTAAATAAATAAAACTAGTACCCTAAGTACATCCAATTGTCTCGCTAGCTGTACATTTCCCCCAAAAAAATAAGTAAATTAATTCGCAGAGTTAGTGAAGTCATAAAAAAGTAGAGTGCAATCGTGATCTGCTAGTTACTTTCAAAACGTTTGATTTTGATAACATCAATTATGTGAAATATATAACTATTAAAAATGGAGAATGTATACAGTTTTCAGGCTGCAATTTTATAATTTTAGGCAAAATATCACATGGTACCATACGCTGAAACAATTTAATGTGCATACGGTACTGATTTGCTTCACTCAATACTTGGGTAGCAAAATGCATCAATTGCACTAGAGCTATGGTGCCATTTATGTATTAACCTGAAATTTCAATTTCATATAATTGGATGTGCTCCAACAAATTTGGCACTCCTGTGGTGTATAGTTGCAGGTCTCTATAGTAGGTAAAATCCTTTATGTAATTTGCTTATAGTTGTTTCTTAGGGAATGCATGTTGGCCTTTTAAGACCACTTATGCTTGAATTCTACCCCCACCCCCATTTGAAGTCATGTTTAAACTCATATAGCTGTCAATAAATGTTGATGTGGAACATATATATTTAGGTCTCTTTTGTTTCATGACTTCGTCGCAATGTGCCTTACAAAGGATCCTCGTCTCCGTCCAACTGCAGCAGAGTTGCTAAAGGTACTATGTTCTTTATGTGTTACATTATTTATATGGAGTGTATGTTAGAGTGTATTTTCTGTATGCTCCAATGTGATATCTAAAGTAATAGTTTCCACTGAATTTTGTATGCTTTGCACTCTGTTGACCTCTCATCTGGCCTAAAAATGTTTTTCATGATATATCTCATCGAGCCTGAAAATTTTGATAGGCATTGGTGTTTAAGTGCATATGATGAAAAGTTTAAACTCACAGATTGGCTACATGATTTTCGTGTTTGAGGCAACTTCTCCGTGATATTCTTAATCATGAACTTATACATACTTTCATAATTTTGTACTAAATGGTCTAATGCCAGCTCTTAATTTCTAGTGGCTGTAAATAATAATTATTTGAAAAAACAAAAAGTTATAGGTGCTGTAAGCCTGTAAGACATGCAACTACTTAACTACTTTCCCCACCCAAAAAGATTTTATTGTTAGATTGCTTTTGAAGAATTGAAGCCTTGATTGATGACTCATTTGTTATATGTTTCAATTTCTTTTTGAAGCACAAATTCATTGAGAAGTGTAAAAGTGGAGCTTCTGGAATGCTGCCCAGGATACAGCAAGCAAAGGAAATTAGATCTTCCATGACTTTAGAAGCTCAGAAAATTGTATCATCAGCCACTCTACGAGATGTATGCTTATTATTATTGTTGTTGTTGTTGTTGTTATAATTATTATTAATTTCATCATCATCCAAATGATTCACTATAACCCAACTGCTTTTTCAAGTTATGTTTAGAAAAAATCAAATTTTATTCTTGAAGTGCAGTTAGGAGGTGACCCCAAAGTAAATGAATCATTTGGAGATACAGTGCCTGCTGGTCTGCAAGTCTCTGATGTACTATCATCTGCAATTAATGTGGAGAATCATGATTCAGTACATATAGAAACTGATGAAGAAGGTAACCCTATTAGATTACATCCCATATCACAAAATCTGAACTTTTTCCTTGGCAGGTTAGCTTCACTTTTGATTTACCTCAGTAATGTGATTAACTCAAATAACAATGTGAATAAATAACTAGTTATTGAGCATTGATTAACATTTTATTTCACTGGTTACAAATGGACCCTAAAAGTGAGGCAAATTCTAAACAAACAGGTGACTTTGGGACAATGATAGTTCGAGATGCTAGTAACACAGCTACAACAGCTACTCAGATTGCAGTCCGAGACAAAGAACCGTCCCCTTCTGTAGAACCTACTGGAAATGCCCATGTCCCTGGCCATGAAGAAAAAACAATTGACCCTAGGTATTCTCTCCCCTCTCTTTTGATAACCCTTCAGGAAAAAAGGACTAGGAAAACACTAATTGCCACTTGTCAGAAAAGTCATGCAGATGGAATGTTCTCAACTTTTTCAAAGTTTGGAGTTCAACAACTGCCATTACACAAACGGATTATATTTACACTATGCTATCAACTCCGGGGGGGAAACTACGGGTAGGCGAATAATCTGAAGGTTTGCGTGTGGACTATGGAGTCACATGATTAATGACTTAAATGAGAATGAGATTCCTCAATTGCTCACTGTATGGTTGTTTCCAGTATGTTGCTCCTTTTGTTGAAACATAAATGTATCTTACCGTGAAGGGTAAGATACATGTCATATGCCTAGACGTGTTACGTGTATGTGTGACTTTCTTAAGGATTATATGGTAGGTAGAGGTTCCTATGATGCCACTTATTTTTCAACATCATCCAAGAAGAGTTTTTGGTTAGAAGGGACTATCTTTAGCTACTTTTTTACAGAATCATCTTTAAAGCTATTTTCTTTAATAAGAATTTGTGTAGTGTAGCTGATACTTGCATATATGGTGGCATCAGGCTATACAGTGAAGAGAGTCTTAATTCCACAAGTGGCGCATCCCAATCCAGACAAGGGAAAGCCTCTTCTCCTGCAATGCTTGCTCCTCCACTTTTATCCCCCCCGCCGGGCAACATTTTTGTAACAAAAGGTCCCTTGAAGAGTGAAGCTGTCAGTCAAAAAGCTGTAGAAAAGGTACTTTTTCTCCCTCTTTCTTGCCTTTTATCTATACATGTAAGTTAGTATTGTTTCCTTTGAATTTCATTATCATCTTCACCTTAATGCTACATTATTGGAGTCAGTGGTATGAAACTTGTAGCATCAGTGACTCATGAAATGAATTTAAACTAGGGACAAAAAATTTGTCGTGCCCGTGTTTCCATTTGCATCCTCATTGCGGAGGAGTAATGAGATAACTTGAAAACCATCACCATAGGTTATCTTGATTCTTGACCTGCATGAATATTATCATGAGACAGCAATGTGGTGCAATAATTTCCATAGCCATGTTAGATTGAAGGTTGATTTTAAATGTTGAGAATAAAATTTGGACCAACTCCAACAAAAAAAGAGTTCTAGAGGTGGGGATTGTCAACACTTATGATTATGAAGAGGTTCTTTTTTTTTATGAAGAGGTTCATTTATTCATATTTAGCAAATGTGGTACACTCTTAAATCAATATAAAATCAACTTTTAAATCATGAAACTGGATTGAAATTGCTTTGTTTGATTTTATTGATTCAGATTGCTTGAATGCAACTCATGCATATGTTCTTTGTGTATAAATATATTCTTCTAGCTCCGTTCAATATACTCAGCTGGTAATACTGGTACCAATCCCGTTCGTGAGAGCATCTGATATATCACCAATTGCACTTCTGTCTGGCAATATGCTTGGGGCCTGGCAAGAAGATGATACTTTGCATGAGCTTTTCTGTCGCGATGCTCAGTCAAAAAAGGGGCCGAAGTAGACAAAACGAGGTCCTTTTTTATTTCTCTATTACTTTTTGGTTTTCTAATCTATCCCTCTCACCCCAACTGATGATTGCCTTATAGGTTCCCTTGCCTCCAAGTGTACATCAGCGACTATCTTCTAGTCCTACCTTAATGAACCTAACACAAGCTTTGGCTTATCACAGGATGTAAGATCTTTCAACTCATACGCTCCTCAGTCCCTCTATAAATAAATAAAACAAGAGTCAAAAGCCATGACATTACATTTACAAATTATTTGTTAGTTTAACTCGTTCTTATCTTATTTTGAAATAGTTACTTGTTGGATATGACTCCAGGTGCTATGATGACATGCCTCTTCAGGAAATGCAAGCTACACAAGAGCAAAAGACCATCCAAAGCCTTTGCGATACACTAAAAACTATTTTGCGGTTATAAATAGATGCTGTTTATTTATAGTTTTTTATATAGAAAATGACATTATCTAACTCGAGTATTCATTTATTTGGATTACATTGAATATGATTGCAATCCGTAAACAATACTATCATATTACACTGTGCAGCCTAGAACATCTAAGAGCAACACAAACCGATTATTGCCTTAAACTTCTGTGACCTTTTCCCTCTATGAAGCTTGCAACAAGAGATATCTCTCCACATAGCTAATCAGGAATGCACCACCAACCTATATAGTCATGAAAAGAGCTCTTAGTGACAAGTGGAGGTGGTCCAAATGCACCATGTCCCACACTTACTATATTCCTCATGCTAGAGGTCTTGAGTTCAAGTCACTAAGGAGGTGAGTTTGAGAAGATTTTCTCAAGTGAGAATCCGCTAACCCCAAAGTTAGCTTGAGTGTGTGAGTTATCTTCTTGCTAGAAACTTGATTATTTTATACCAATCGATGGCAATTCTCCTGGGAGCTATGCTGGGAACCAGATGACACGTGAAGTTAATCAGTTAAGAGCGGTTTTTATGTGAGTTCTTAGGAATCTGCAATTAGCTCGACGAAGTCGGGGTCACGTGGTGTGCCCAAAAAAGAAAATGAAAGACTGAAAGAGCTCTCAAATTAAGCCATAGGCTCCACCCCTGTTAGACTAAATCGGCTTCAAATAGATCAAGTAGATTAGATCAAGACTTGAGCGATTACTAAAATAAACATCTATCAAACCTCTACCAGATCAAGCCATATTTCAAGAGATCAGATCAAGCCAAAGAAATTCGATATAAGTGAAAATGTCCTATAAACAACCAAAGTTACTAGTTAATTCCTTTTTGGCAACATCTAGATCATTGCATTTCTTTTACACGCAATATACGAGCTAATGTTTATTATATTTTGCCGACCTCGAGGTTTGGACTCAAGAGAGTAGAGACTGTAGTTTGTTTTCTTCTTTGATCTTTTGTGAGGTCAATAACTTCTCCTTTATCATTGCAAACCGCACAGTACAAACACAAGATAGTTGAGTAGTCTAAATAAGATAAGGGAGTGTTTGCAATTGCTTCAACTTTAAAAAAGTGATTTTTTAAAGTGATTTTGGGAAAAGTGATTAATAGTAAAAGTTGATAGTGTTTGAGAAAAAAGTGATTCTGGAAAAGTAAAAGTTAGTAGTGTTTGGTAAAATAAGTAATTTTTGTGTAATAGAAAAAGTGAGAAGCAGTTTAAAGCACTCTTCTACCTGCTTCCAGCTTTTAGCTTTTAAGTGAGAGTTTCACTAAATGTTTTTCCTTTTAGAAATTTAACAGGTTTCACAATATTAACACCCAGCTGTGGGTTTGATTAATATTTTATACTAGAAGTACCTTATCAAAAGATCACAAGTGCAGGTTGGTCAAAGAAGACTTTTTTTTTTTTTGGGGGGGGGGGGGGGGGGGGGCAATAAACTCAAGAATGTTCCCATTCAAATAATCCACATGTGAATCCCTCTCAAATTCAATAGACAAAGCTTCTGAACAAGGGGGAGTTCAATAAACACCCCTTTACATGCATATCTCAAATATGCTAACCATTCTTCTCATCACATGCTAACCACTCCATATACTTGAATGAATGTAGAAACCACAAGACATTGTGCTTTTGTCAATTAGGTATTAATCCCTGCACATATCGAACTGAAATTACTTTTATCAACCATGGAAAAAGTATCTTGCTGCTGTCAAAAGAAGAAGAAATTACAAAGTCCAAACTAGCTTCAGTATTGTTTTGCATGACAAAAGCTCGCCTGTATGTTAGCTGTTTAGGTGATGTTCGCACTTCGCACACCATAAGCTAGGAAGCATGTACGCTACCTTCAATTCTAACCTCAAACTTATTAAACATATCCTTATGTCATTTGAAGTTCCTAAACTACTTTATGAACTAATCTTTACTCTCTAATTTATATTTGTTCATACTCATTTTATTGATCAATTTATATAACTCAAAGACTAAAACCAGTTAACCTAGGTTCTCTTAACATGGTTTAGGCTTCAAGTCATTTGGGTAGGGTATTTATGACCAGAATCAAGATTTTCAGAGAATTTGGGTTCACCTAGAAGAAGTTTTGAAAATCCAGATTTCCGAATCAGGGTGTTCAGAAGCTTGAATCCTCCTTGTAAATGCAATGTCACTTGATGATTTGGAGAACCTCATCTAAACATTATTTAATTACATCCACCTACACTAATTGACCATGGGTTCACTCAATAAGTACTAAAACGAACAAGTTGTAAAACGAGTAATCATATTTGACATTGTATTTCATCTTTTCATCATCTGACATGGACCATCCTTTTCATCATGTTCCTTTTCTTGGATCCAAATAGAGCAGTAAAAATGAAATGTGTTTCAAAAGATACCCGGATGCTAAAGGGTCTCCTGAAGCTCCGGGAGGGTTTCTTTACTTGATTTCATCTTCATATCTTCTTCGTACTTCTTCAACCGTTCATTCCACATCTCCTTCAATTTTAAATAAGATGTAAATCAAAAGGGGTAATGATCATGATGTAAATTGAAAGGGCAATATTAAAGCAAGCATGGGGAGTATATAAACACCTTGTACTTGAGTTCAGCTCGATGCATTACATAGAATCCAAGAACGCCTCCAGCAATTGTGCCTGTAATTATCCTAAAGTAACCCCACCTCGGCGATCTCATTTCTCACTGTTTTTCGTTCTTCTTCCTCTCGGCGTTTCCTTTCAGTCGGACTCCATACTTCCCTCTTTGAAGCGACGAATTAAAATACTACGTATTTGAATTTCCAAATAAGACCCTTCATCAATTCCATGTTGGTTCATAATAAAATAAAATAAAATATCATTAAAATAATACTTGCAGGCAAAAATACGATTAATGTAATAGTGAGTATAGTTCTATGATTACTAAATTAAAGTTTAAACATGAATAAATCGTTATTAAGTCACACTTTTGTTAAATATATCTTTTTTAGTTCATCATTACCTCAGTGCCGCAGAGGCTTCCACCTACGGTGGGGTAGGGGGTCGTTGTACGTAGTCTTGCCCCTGTACTGAAGCACATAGATACTGTTTCCGGATGATCCACAGTGAAAATTGCGTCAAAATATCTCCTTTAGTTATATATATATTAAAAATTATTTTATATTCCTAAGGAGAAGGGTTGTTTACTTACGACTTAATTGACTTTATCATTCAATCATTAAGTCATGTTTACTTACGACATAATTGAAAAAAAAATTAATTTATTCAGTCAGAAAGTTGACTTACTCATTAATCTATTAGAGTTTTATCTCAAATTAATGTTTTGTGAATTGTGATTTATGTTTTGTACTATTACTTAAAATCTATAAATTATGTAATGTGAAAATTGTTAAACTGTGTGGATATTTAGAAGAAGACTGAACTTTAATTTCCCGGAAAAGTGACATTGTTTGGTATCAGTATAACACCGAGTACCGTCCCATTTGAAAACGAAATCATACCGAACGAGTTTAAATCTAAGACCGAACCGAACCCGACCATTTTAGTAATCATTGTCTAAGTATGAGTTTGGCAAAATATAGGAGTTGACCATACTTGCCCACCTTTGGCTAAGGATTTGTTTGCAAAAGTTTAAAAAATACATTTTTCGGTCTTTGGACTAAAAAAGCTAAAATTAGTGTTTTCAAATAAGAACTATGTTTAAAAAGTGTTTCTCGACTTTTGGCTCAAAAGTATTTTTTAACCTTTTCTATCACATAAAAAACACATATTTTATCAAATTCTACCAACTTTTATTTTTT